CTTGAAACTGCAGATATAATGAAGGCAATGAAAATTTGTAGGTATGCTAAAGATTGATTTCTATATATATTTGAAATATCAAGCTGCTCTAATTGTTGAATTAGATATGAACCCTTTTGGATATGAAATGAATATTTAATAAAAAAACAGGATAACATAGATAAAGAATTTATTTTAAATATGGGGAAAATCTAATAATAACAATAGTTTTTGTGCTTGGCTTCTTTATTGCTTTCGTCTTGGTAAGTTGTCGGCAGTGCTTGGCTTCTTTATTGCTTTCGTCTCGGTAAGTTGTCGGCAGATGAGTGGTGTGGACGATGTGGGAAGAAGAGTGAAGTGAAAAAGAAAAGCTCTGTGTAAATGTTTTTTTTTAGCAGTTCTAGCTGTACTTATATTTACTTTATTGATGATGACATCCCTTCATATTGATGACGTGCCTTTATATCAATGATGTGCCTTTATATCGACAAAGTTCAATCATATTGATGACGTCCCTTTATATAGCTATGTATATAGCTAACATGTAAGCAGTCGTGTTACAGGCACTGTTCGGAAAACAAAAACATTTATTTAACTAAAAGTTAAAAAAGAAATCTTTCTGCGTAAATATATATATGTTGCAACGTGGTAACCTGCGGCTTATAGAGAAATGTGCCCTTTATATGTACAATAATTTTTTTTCTTTTTAAAATTAGTGGGTGCGACTTATATTCAGGTGCACTCAACAGTCTTTTAGTCTCAAAAGTATTTTGTTTGTTTTTTTCCAAAGGAGCTTGATAAGTATTTTCTGTCTGTATCCATAATGTAAAATAAGTAATTTTTTTGAAGTTGAATTTCAAATTTTAAACATTTACATTCTTTATTTTCTGTACAGTGAAATCAGAGGAAATGCAAACATTGGTGAAGATGGAGAATATTGGGGATGTTGTCAAAACGGCTGAGAAGAAAGTTGAATTTTCAATGCACGAGACTCCGGCCAACATGGAAGAGAAAATTAAGAAGGAATTGCACCAAGATACAGCAAAAGGAAAGGATGAGAAACAGGAGGAGGAGAAGCAAAGTGACAAAGAAAAAGAGAAGCAAGTGAAATTAGAAGAGGTAAAAGAGAGAGAAGCGGTAAAGGAGGAGGTAAAAGTAGAGAAGGAAGCCGAAAAAGAGCTGAAAACGGATACAAAATTGGTTGAAGGAAAGAGGAAAGAGGCAGGAAAGGATGAAGTAAAAGTAGAGAGGGAAACCGAAAAGGAGCTGAAAACAGATGAAACACTGGTTGGGGAGAAGAAGAAAGAGGGAGAAAAGGAGAAGACTGTAGAAAAACAGACAGAAAACGTGGAAGTTTCAAAACAAGGCGCAGAGATGAAAAAAGAGCCACAGACAGTAGAAAAAGTTCAGTCAGTGCAGCAGACAGAAGAAATCAAGGAAGAAATTAAAAAAGAGAAGCCGTTAGAGAAAATGGAAGAAAAAGAAAAGGCTAAAGAAGAAGAAAAGGTGGAAACGAGAGACCAGGTCGAGAGCAAAGCTGCGAAGTTAGAGGACGTAGAAAAGGTGTTCACGGGTGAAAAAACAGATAAAACCACGGAGAAGCTTGACGAACCGCAAATGAAGGATGTTGAAGAGCACAGCGAGGAGTTAAACCAGACCCTACATCAACAGAAGACCCCTGACACACAGATCCTGGTTACTGCAGAGGCTGAGCAAAAGGAAAACACAGAGGAGGCCAAGGAGAAACCCACAGAGGTGGAGAAGGTTCCTGAGAAGGTCAGTGAACAACTAACAAAGAAGACCGACGAGCAAAAGAAGCCGGACCAAAAACTGGCAGCAAAGAAGGTTGTTGAGAAAAAGGATGAAAAGAAGGACAAGGCGACAAAAGCAGACTTCGGAGACAAGGCCAAAAAAGCTAGACCTGCCGTTAACGGAAGCAGCGCGGCACCAAGCAAGGATCTGGCGACTGCTGATAAAAAACCCAAGGTATGGTCTGTAATTAAAGTATAGAAGTGGTCATACACATTGATTGATAGAATACAGCGGTCCTCGGGACTCGAGATGTAACTCGTACACAAGCACCTATGTCACTTACCTACGCTAACACAGTGGTAACCTCGTAATCTAGGACATAAAAACAGAAGTCTTTTACAATGAAATGAAGGTGAATATTTGTTGTAGGGGAATAAAATAGTACCAAATGTACCGATTTTACTTAAAACGCCTTTTAGCATTTAGCACAGCTTGTAGGGCACTAGAGGATGGAGTCATCAAATTACATAGCACCTGTCTGGCTTTTTGCTTTTTTTAGTTTTTTAGTTCCTGTGTTTGTAAAAAAGCCAGTGCACATCTAGACTGTGAAAATAATGAGCTCATATATATATATATACATTTCATATACATTTGCACCAAAGTTTTTTTGGCTGCATGTCTTCCATGATCCATGATTTGCTGGCATGTGGTAAGAGCTTTTTTCCCATCATCACTATCCAGTGACGTCTCCCAGTGATTCGTCCAGCTTTGGAAGAATCAAAATTGACTTTGGCTGACAGTCAGCAGCATTTATTATAACACATAACCCCTAAAAATCCTTAGTGTATCGTAGTATTATACAGTTATAACAGTGGTCCCCAACCACGTGGTACGGGGCCTCACAGAAAGAATGCATACCTTACGTTATTTCCGTTTTATTTATTATCTGATTCTGAACGATTCTTTGTTTTGGAAAAATTACCAGATTGATGAATCACCCTCGATACATGTCAAGATGCGTGCCTCGGTCACATGTCTTACCTACATCCGCTACCTTCTTAAAAGGTCTGCTGCGGTCGGTAACACACAATACATTACCGCTAAATTGAAACCGCCGATGAATTTCTTTTTTATCCAATCAGTTTAGTAAAATTGTTTAGGCAACTGCTGAAAAAAGCTTTTGCAATTGCTTTTTTTATGCCCAGAGTGTTTAGAAATGTTTGTTCTTTTATTAACCACAGACAACTTACCATTTTATGTTTATTTGAAGTCACTATGATTTTTTTATGATTTTAATGCTGCTCATGTTCCTGCTGCCCTTGTTTTATTTTATCTTTGTCCACTGCTTCTCCTTCCTTTTTTTTATTCTATTTTTTGCCCTCCATCTGTTCGTCCTGCACATCTCGTTCCTGCATCTCAGCCCGCTGCTGGGGTGACCAGACCGAGCACTGCTGCGAAAATGCGGCCGAGCTCTACAGCTCCTAGCAGTGGGTCACCTGCAGTCCCTGCTAAACGCCCCACACCCTCCACCACAGACAAAAAAACAACCACTGCAAAGCCACCATCCACAAACACTGGTGGCCTTAAGCGGCCCTCCAGCACTTTCACCAGTCGCCCCTCGTCACTGACCACAACCGCGGCACGTGATGCCAAACCCAAGGTGAGTGTACCGTGTCGGAGATTGTAAATAGCACAGGTACAGAAGTTTAGTTCAGTTGACGTGGAGGAACTCTCTCTAAACGCTCTACGAAAAACGGTTGAAAAACAAAAATGCTGCCACAGGAGGTGCCATTAAGTATGTGGTTTCTCTGGGGCTCGAACCCAGGACCTTCTGCGTGTAAGGCAGAGGTGAAAGGCAGGCCTGATTTGATCAGCTGCACAATATCACCATTGTCACATCAGGCAATATATTAATAAATACATCGGCCAAAAAAAGAATGAAACTTTCAACAGCCAGCTGAACAGAATGTGAGCAGAGCTTTGGTTTAGTATAGCCTTCTTTAGATGAGACATTCCCAGTTAGCTGCTCGTACCGTCGAGCCCGACCGATGACTCTCCCAGATAGGAAGAACTGTTCTACTGACTAAAATGTGTGCTCCTCAACAATTTCTCTACGTGCTGCATTCATCCTCATCCTGTCTGCCTGTCTCCATCTCCACAGGTGACCACGGAGAAACGTCCCCCTGTGCCAAAGGCCACCACTGCCACCTCAGATCAGTCGGGCCCTGCAGCTACCACCAAAAATAGAACCGCTCCCACGGCGTCCAGTAGAACCACTCCATTGACTACATCAGCTGCTACGACAGCTACTGCTCGTACCACCAGCAGCACAGCAGCCAAAAGGCCTCTGGGTAAGGCACGTTAATGTTAATGCGAACACTGCTCATGTGAAATATGGATATTATTACCTATAATTGTGTTTTAGTATAATTGTGTTTTAACTAATTACCATATTTTGGGGTCTTGAAGTCGTTCCGGAGTATAAGTCGCACCAGCCAAAGGATAAAAAAAGTGCGACTTACAGGATTAGCAGATACGGGGGCACAAGCCTAGAGTGCCCTCTAGCGGCCGTCAGTGAGAAAAGTGTGAAAACAACAAACGTGAAATTATATATATATATATATATATATATATAAAGTCCCCCCTGAGTACAAGTCGCAAATCCAGCCAAAGGATGGAAAAAA